TATTGTAATATATTTTAATATTTTATTTTAGAATATTATTATTTATTATAATTAATATTGAATAAAATTTAATATTTTAATATATTTTAATATTTTATTTTATAATATTATTTATTTATTATAATTCATATTTTATTTTTGTATTATCAACTTGCATTAATTAATAAGTAGTTAGCAACTATGTTAATTTATAGAGTAATGCAACAAGCTGACGCAATGTATGTACATGTAGACGAAAGATACTTAAAATAATCTTAAACAAGTTGCATTAGTTCCAAATCAAATTTTAATAGATTATTCAATAGATCAAATCTCAAAAACAGGGACTTGTGATTAGTAAAATATAATACAGGGTCTCTCAACTGAACTGCTGTGAACAATTTTTCATAATGAAGAAAGAATTTTTTCATAAGATCAATCTTTTTCTGAAACTTTAAAATTATTTTTTTTTTTCAAGAAGAAGTGAAGATATCTTTTACAAGTACCAAGAATGTAAAATGTTTATATTGTATATAACAATAATTGAGTAAAATGAGAACAAAGTCTGAATCAAGTATCTCTACAAGTATTTGAAACAAAAATTGATTATACCTACCATGCAATTTCACCAACTTATTAAAAAAAAAAAAAAAAAAAAAAAAAAAAAAAAAAAAAANAAAAAAAAAAAAAAAAAAAAAAAAAAAAAAAAAAAAAAAACGACAAACTGAAACAAGCACATTTTTAGCGAATAAATTACTTAGAGTTTAACGAATAGCATGTCCAACAAAATTTCAAAAAATTACACAAAGTAAATAGAAATACACTTTAAATGAATACAGTTTCTCGAAGGAAGAAGGAAACTATCTTCCTTCTTTCTTTTCAATTCTCTCCGAGACGCGTGATCTCGTTTGATGAAACGAGTTCGTTTATTTCATTTGAAGGCTGTACAAAGAACGCTCGACTACCCTGCTTGTTTCCACTTCCTTCTACTTGTCTCGGGTCCCGCGATTTTCTCTTCTACGATATTTACCTGTTTCACGCTCGTGACATCGCGCTCACGTGCACGAACTTCGTGAAAAGAGCGAGAGAATGATTTCGCAACGAGGGAAACGCCTGGCTGGCATATTAATTTCGCGTGACGGGCGTTCTCCGTGCTTTCTTTCTCCCGAACCCAGAGAGAAAAAAAAAAAAAAGAAATGAGAAGTACGAGAGTGGAATATTTAATTAGTTCAGCATCTTTTCTGTCATCTTGGACATGCAAGAACGAGAGACGCCGTTCTCTTTCCAGCTTTCTCGTCGATCGTTTCGCGAGAACTTATGAATTGAATAATACATGAGTGTATATCTTATGGTCTCTCTGGATATATACTTGAAGTGATGTAATTTTTCGATGCATTTTTATGACGAAAGTGACGCAGAAAGAAAGTATGTTTTCCTCGAAGTGAAAAACTAATTTTCGAACAGAATTAGATTATTATTTTAGTTCTCACCCATCTCCCATTTTTACAATTAAATTTGTCTTTTTTTATCAAATTGACACATCAACAAAAGACCAATACCTTTTATGTACAGTTAATCCTCCTGTAACATTCATTTGTTCCGTGTTATGCGAAATTTAGAATTTCAGAAACAGTGTGATGAGAAAATTCCAAATTTACATTTACATTCTGTGGTTTGTCAACAACATATCGCGTTCGAGGTGTATTTTCATGTCATTTATCATGAAATAAATAAATATAATAAATATAGATTTGTTAAATCTTCATTACCTTAAATAAATATATTATATTTATAAATATTATTATTATATAATATTAATATATATTATATTATATTTATATTATTATAAATATCAAATATTATTTATCTCGAATAAATATAGTATATTATATTTATAAATATTATTATAATTATATTATATTTACATTGTTATAAATATTAAATATTATTTATCTCGAATAAATATAATATATTATATTTATAAATATTATTATTATTATTATATTATATTTACATTATTATAAATATTAAATATTATTTATCTCGAATAAATATAATATATTATATTTATAAATACTATTATTATTATATTATATTTATATTATTATAAATATTAAATGTTATTTATCTTAAATAAACATAATATAGATATTATTAGATCTTTTATCGCGAAACGAATCTATCAGCGAGATAGAACAAATAATAATCGGAGAACGAGATTATTATTGGTTCTATAATAATCGAAGAACCCCCCAGTCGGGTCTTGCGCGCCTCGAAAGAAAAATTTTCATTTTACTGATCGGACGTTTTCGATTTTAGAATTAGTAGCTGATAGGGAAGACGTACTTCTTGGGGGTTCGACGACCTGCAGTACGATGACCTTCAAATTTACAAAGATCAGATTTCACAACATTCCTCGTCGTAACCAGATAGAGGAGTTAACACGGTAGGGTCTAAAGAACACGACGGGACACTGTTTGTACACGGTATGGAAGACACGTCTCCCGATACTATGTGCGAGGCGTTAGTTTAGGAGAAGAGAGAGGCAACCGGCCGGTGAATAATTAGAGAGAGGTCTTCCTCCGCGTGAAACGAGTAATTAAGAGGAAAAGGTGATTTATCGTGGCCGCGGTGCGCGACAAGCGGCCAATCCACGGTGTGTCCCGATGGTTTAAGACGCATCGTGCGTCGGCCTAATGCCAGTTTCACACGACAAGAAAATCTCGTCGTTAAACGCGTTTCTATGCGTTTGAGAATATTTGTGAATCTGACATTAAACGAACGGAATCTAGAAGTAGAAACTTGCCTCATCTGTTTTACTTCGGGTCATTCTGTTTCAAATATATATATTTTATATATTTTATATATTTTTGTGTACAATGTAAATGTATATATATAATAATAATATTTATAAATATAAATGTAAATATGTATATTTTATATATTTTTGTGTACAATGTAAATATATATATAATAATAATATTCATAAATATAAATATATAAATATGTATATTTTATATATTTTATATATTTTTGTGTACAATGTGTGTCTCACGTAACTGTTGCCATGATTTGTCAGACAGCTGCAAGAGTCTGGCCAAAAAAAAAAAAAGAAAAAACATTTCGAGCAGAAAATTAATCAATTTTACACGATTCAAATTCGTACACGAAAGTCCAATTTAGAATGCAACCTAACCCAGATCAGGAAATTGTTCGTCAGTCTGTCACCGTGTGAAACTGGCCTAAGTAAACTGGCCAGCTATTCTATGGAACGTGCACGCCCGTCACTCGAACCGTTTTTGCACGAGCGTTCCTCCGCTCGTAAAATTTCAAGTCGCCTGGTTTGCCACAGTCGTCACATTTACGGCCAATGAAATTTTTCTTCCGCTCGGGTCTCTCCTGGGACGTGTTACGGCTCCAGTAGGTCTAATTTACGATCTGCCAGGTGGTGGCTGCTCCCGTTCTTTGCAACCTCTCTTCTACGGAAGGAGGAGACGTTTCAACTGATAGACAAGGTCACGGCTACTGGACCGCAGCTTCTTTCCTCTTTTTAGAGGAACGTCACTTGCCAGCCGGTGATGGATTGTCTTTTAAGCTGACACGGGGATCTTGTTGCCGCGAGATCCTGGTTGCCTTTGATATTCTCCAAGCGCGAGTCTACCGCTAACTCTTGAACGCCGTGCGTTTAATTTCCTGCCACGCACGTCGAGAATCTTTCCTCCCCAAAATTGTAATATCCTTTCAGTTTTAAGCGCATTTAAAGTAGGCAAAACAGATAACGAGTTTATTACTTCTGAAGAAAGCGACGAATCGTTGTCACACGGTTTGGTCACTCGTTACGGTCCGCAATGCAAGTGCCACGCACACGTCGAATATTTTTTTCTCATGTAACATTGTAAATATGTCCGTTCAATATTGAGATATTAGAAGAAACGTATGCTTTCAATTATATTAAAAGATTTAATATAAATTTTATGAGGTGTTAGCTCAAACGTAAGATAAACGTGTAACTTGAATGATAGACAGATACGTTTCTCGTTTCCAGGTGAAATTTAGCACATCATTTGATGTTATTATCAGTTTAAATAGAAAAATGTCGATTGTTACTATACAAGATAAACAGAATATTCCAATGGAATTAAAATTGGATACTAGGTATGCACAATACTGTATCTATTATATTTGCACGAGCACAGTTGAAAAAATTAGTTGAGTTCAATCAGAAATTTGCTTTCTCTACTGAATGTTGTCTAATTTATATATTAATATATATAAATTAATTTATATAGTCTAATTTATGTATTAATTTATTAACGTATATTAATATATGTACCTCTAATTTATACATTTATATAGTTCTAATATATTAATATATTATATAGTTTTAATATATTAATATATAAATCAGACTATTTAAATTAATTTATATATATTAATATATAGAACTAAATATATAATTAATATATATATTAATATATATGTATATATATAAATTAATTTAAATAGTCTAATTTATATATTAATATATTAATGTATATTGATATATATACTTCTAATTTATACATTTCTAATTTATATAGTTAATATATTAATATATAAATTAGACTATTTAAATTAATTTATATATATTAATATATAGAATTAAATGTATAATTAATATATATATATATATATTAATATATATGTATTAATTTATTAATTATACATTATTTTATATATTAATTATACATTTAGTTCTATATATTAAGTCTAATTTATATATTAATGTATTAATGTATATTGATATATATATATATATATATACACTTTTAATTTATACATTTATATAGTTCTAGTTAACATATTTCGTTAACACTTTTTTGCATCCTCAAATTCCCCACAAATGCACATACAAAAATCCGCGAAATGGTTTAACATTTTCTGCCCAATTACGCAACGACCACTTTCAAATCTCCACAAATCTTAGGGACGACGATTCGATTCGAACTAACGTTTGTGACGAACGTTTCTCTTCGTTTCAGATTGCTCAGCTACGCGCTGCTCTTCCTGTTGTCGGCCACTGTCGCCGTGGCCACCGCAACGGCGGAGCAAGCGGCGTCCAGCTTCGAGACGGTGCACACGAGCAACGCGGCGATTCTAAATCGGCTGGGTCTCGCCCCGCTTCAGATACCCGACGGCCATCACAAGAAGCGTCTGGCCGGCCCGGAACCGCCCGGTCTCAACTCGAAGACGCGGATCCATCAGCCTTACAGCCGCCGGCACGGCCACCGGGACAGCCACGTCTACATCGTGAAGCTGCCAGCCAGCCCGCCGTACTACACCATCACGAAGCCGCACAAGTCCGTGAAAGACGACAGGGTGACGAAGACCGGGCCCAACTTCCCCGTGGGGTTCCAAGGGAACGGTAAACCGGCGAAGATCTACCATTGGAACCTGCCGGTCGTGAAGAAGATCACCGAGAAGAAGCGGCTGCACACTCAGCTGAAGCTGGACCAGGCCAAGAGGAAGATGGACGCCGCGAAGAAGTATCAGAATTCGAAGAACAACCGTGGCGAGCCGGGTGACCCAGTGAGGCAGCAAGGGAGCAGCAAGAAGCGTTACGGGAGCACCAACGACAAGGCGAAGCACGTGAGGAACAACGACAAGAGGCTGAGCTATCCGGATCAGGAGGAGGACAAGGGTGACGCGACGAAGAAAAGCAACGTGAACAAGACGTACAGGCTGGACGACACCGGCGTGCACAGGATCCATTTGACGAACGAGGTTCACGGCTCGAGGAACACGGCGAAGGTGAAGAAACACCGGAAGAAGGCGGCCATGTCGTACTACGCGCCGATCACCGGCAAATCCGGCTCCACGAGCATCCACAAGAATTTCCCCGGTAACGGGAAGCCGAAGGCGTTCTACGTGATGGAAAAGAGCCGCAAGCCTGTCTATTATCACCCCCTGTTACCTTAATCTCGCGTCACCGCGCCAAGGTAATGCCGCGAGGAGCTCGTTAACTCAAGTCAGGTGAAAACGAGAGCGAGGGCCGCCCGTTTTATCGTAGCACGGCGATGAAATTTTTAGAGGAACTGAGAGTAAGAATGTGCATGTAACGTACCGTGTATATGTATGTATGTATGTGTGTGTGTGTGTGTGTGTGTGAGAGAGAGATTCTTTTGGATGGAGTCGTCCTTGCTCGAAGCCACGCGTTATCCTGCAGAGATAAAAAAAAGAAAGAAAAGAAAACCGTTCCACTTCTGTTACAGTTGTTAGAAGTATTAGATTAGGTTTCTTTCCGAGGCTTTCTTTGGAAAGGTGGACTTAATATTTAGGATAGTTTGAAGAAAGAGTTTTTTGCAAAACGCCTGCGGCTGAGCTCGATGCGGTGGCACGCTCAGTGACCATGCACTAGGTTAAGCCACGAGGGGGGAAACGGAAACGATCGTGTCGGTGCTTTCTCTTCTCACGTTTGCATCGAGCTGCCGCAATTGTTAACTGCCAGAGAGACGCACGAATCGCGTTGGATTTGACAATTTTGTGAAATTTCAAAAAAAAAAAGAAAAAAAGAAAGAAGAAACTGAAATATCTGTAAATCGACGATCAATTGTCAAAGTTACCCGATGCGGACGATGGCTTCGCCTCGATCGTTTCCCAATCGCCGCGTTCAACTTTGTACAATATATTTTTATAAGTTTGACGAGACACTTTTTCTATATGTCGTGCGTCGTTTTCTACAACAACAACAAAAAAAAAAAAAAAAAAAAAAAAAAAAAAAAAAAAATGATAATGAGAGACCGATATCGGTAAACATTTCTGAACGAAATGAGTTTGCGAGTCTCGTGCGAGGCAATCGGTCGCGAGCGAACTTTTACGAAAGACTGGACAATATTATGCCTACTATACTACTCTCTCGGCGGGATGCACATGCCTTTTTCTACGTATTAACCGCGCAAGGACTTTTTACTGGTTCTATCTAACCTTTTTTGTTTTCNTTTTTTTTTTTTTTTTTTTTTTTTTTTTCTTTCTTTTATACTAACGAATTGCAGAAGCGCGAGAGCAGCAGACATTTTTTATATTCTTGTATATCGTATGTTATAGGAGGAAGCTCAATTGTATCGAACTATGGCATTCAGTGTAGTGTAATAAAAAGTATTTATAGTACTTTGTACACGTTGGCTGCCGTTGGAAAGGATAGAAGCCTCGACGAATCCAATCAACCTTTTTATCCTTTTTCTTTCGCTGTATAACAAAATAATTGAAAAAAATCCGTGATGAAGTAGTCCTTCCGACAAAATTGAACAACGAAGAAGAAAGAAGAAGAAGAAGATTGGAGAAGAAAAGTGTTCATACAATTTAATGTTCTGGTTTAAAATGAGAACCCCTTTTAACCCGTTATATCACATTTGCGATAGTATCGAGCCAACAACGAACCCTTTTGCCTCGAGGGCCACATTTTTTAGTAATTGATCATCTCTAACTTTGAAATGAGCAGAATCCCTGTCGTCCTTTGTCCGACGACCACTTTACGTCTCCTTTTCTTGTCTTTTTTCTTTTCAAATATTCGAGCCCTTTGGCAAATGCTTTTGTCACCGAGTAAAAAGAATGAATCCCTGGTATTTTCATCTGAAAAAAGAAATTGATCCTTTGAGAATGTGATTTCGAGAAGATAAGAACGTTCGAGAGTGACGAATAGTTGATTTCAATATAAATGAGTAGGAGTCTATTATATTATAATAGAATTAGATGTAATATTAACTAAATTCTATATTTAATTCTTTTATAATGTATGTATACTTTTGGTACAATATATTTTAGTATATCTCTCTTTATTTTAAATAATAAGTTTTATTATAGTATGATGTACTTGAATTTTTGAGTATTATATTTTAAAAATATAAAGTGCAGAATATTTTTACACGTTAAAATATATTTATGTTTTAATATATAATACAATAATATGTATAATTATAATGTAATATATACTATATATTATAATATTATAATATTATACTTTAGTATGAAATATAAGTAAATATTAATATTATACTTTAGTATGAAATATAAGTAAAGTACTAGAGCACGTTAAAAACATGATCTATTTAGTATATAATAGTATACTAAATGTTACATATAGTACAGCTTAACACTGTACCACTGTACCTTTGCATACTAAAGTACAGCTTAACACTGTACCTTTTTATACTAAAGTATGCTAAAAGTAAAACATACTATAATAAAATACACAAAATATATACACACAATATAATACACTTTACTTTATTTAATTTGTACTTTACTGCTTTATACCACATCATTATACTAAAAGTATACTTCACGTTTAACAGTATATTTCTAATATTATATTACACTATACTTTTACTAAAAAGTGTATCAAAGCGCTATATCATGAAAGAGATATCTTTCGTATCTTTTCAAGGACGAGTGCTTTGTAACCGGTGAATTTATTTAAGGAACGTAAGCCGAAAGAAAGGAGACGGAACATCTCAGCATCTCTACGTCCTCGGCTCGGATCACAAGATTGAATTGAAATTCCATTTAAACCAGGCTTTTCTGACATGTCTGGCATCGGTGTTATCGCGATCTTTGAATTCAATCTCTTTGAGCAAGTACATAGCTTAGATCGCGAGGTATTCCGGTAACCAGACAGGGCATAATCCCGAGCAGACTCGCATCTCGAGTCAATATTTGTACTACGCTAGGGAGAGTGGGTGGCGGGAGGGGAGGAAGAATGTATGAAACGCGTTTCCTTGTCGACACGAGGCTGGTAAGAATTCATCAAAACGTTTTCCAGCACTGTAAGGTAAAATAATAAGGTTCGAAATGAAAGGTGGAGGACTATTTTTAACACACGGTGTTACATTCGTCAATTTGAAACAATTGGAGAGTCCCTGTCGAAAACAGTGTAGGTTCCAAACATTGAATTTTCAAATCTCCTATCTCATGGAAGTATTCTAATAATTGTATAATAAAAGTATTTCAATTATTATTACTTTTATCGGTATTTTTACTTATTATGATTTATCGGTTTTATTAATATTTTTTTAATTGAAATAGGATTCAGGCTCTAGTTGAGGAAAAGAAGTGGAAAATTATCGACTGAAAACTTTCGTATATTTTTCACGTATTTACAAAGTAAAAAAGAAGATCTGGATAAAGAAAAGAAAAGAAAGTTTAACGACATACAAAAAATTACGACTTTACAAATAAATATATACGATATTAAGTACATTGTGGTAACACTAAATGCTCTGTAATCGTAGTTTCGCTCAAGATATAAAACTATTAAATACTAAATTACTCTATTATAGTGCTTGAGCAAGTTAGTCGTCGTGATCTCCTCTGCACAATCAATTGGCATGTTAGGTGAGTGCCCTAATGAAGCTAAATTATTTTCGAAACTGTTAATTATATCGGCAGATGTTCTAAAATTTCAAGGATTTCAAAGCTTCGAAATTTAATGCAATTAATAATTTTGGAAATGAATTCGTAAAAGATACGAAGCTCAATTTTGTTTCTCCTTTTTTTTTTTTTTTTTTTTTTTTTTTTTTTTTTTTTTTTTAATAAAATCAATGCATCACAACGTCCTTCAGGAAAGAATTAAAAATAATTTTAATTTTGCAAAGCTTGTAACTTTAATATTAAAAATATGCTCTACTTCAATATTCGACGTTTTAACTTTGATTTTGTAAAGCTTAGCAAAAAAATTAAAATTGAAATATTTTTCGACGTAGATAGATTAATAATTATAAGAAAGAATATTGATCTCAATATTGAGACCAAACTAAATGATGTGTTTTATTCAAAAATGGAATTTCTACGCGAGACACGTTCCAATATAACTAATAGTTTTGATAATATACTTTCAACTTCCTGCTTTGAAATGACTCATCCTGCGTATATGATGTACATAGGCATTTCCTTAAATCAATTATCATACAAATAGACGTACTCTGGTATATAAATATCGATACTCTATAAATAGAAGCTATACATCTTAAAAGTAGCAATTATGCACTTTGCCCGTGATCGAATCTCCCGTCTCGATCAACTGCAGCAATATATCTTAATTATGCTGGATAAATCGACGGTAAATTAACGCAAACTGAAAAACCAGTAGACATTGGCTACTGCACGAAAAGGGGGGAAAACATCCAACGAATGTTGCTTTGATTCGCCATCATGCTGTCTCATCTTTCACGCTAGTGTTGATGAGATCGTTTGTCGCACATTTTTTTTTTTTTCTTTGATATCTTTTCTCACTTCGAAACAGATTTTTATTTTTGGAGTATAAATAGTTGGTCATTGCAATTAATTTATTAGCGTTACTTTGGAAATAAGTTAATTATTTAAATGGATTTCTTGTTCGAACAAAGTAATAAATAATTCAGCGTGAAATTAGCCTGGAATCTGTGTCTGTCGGGCAGTTGACAACGTTGACAACGACTCAAAAAGCATTTGACCGAAGTTAAGTCGAATAAATAATTTATTCAAGCGCAAAATGAAAACAAGCGTAAAGCGAAACAATTCGATATTTGGTTCGATGGTAGATAAAAATTGTTTTCACGTTCGAATAAACTAAACGTCCACGGTTACCTCAAATTGAGAAATTGAAATTTGAAAGAGAAAATTGAAAAGAATTTGACAAATTGAAAATTGAAATATAATAATATGTAGTCTGGTTTTAAAACATATTACTTGAGTAGTGCCTAAGCTTATTCACTTCGTGGATATTGCAGAGGCATTGAACTTGAAGATGCAAAGAAAGAAAAAAGAAACAGAGGTACAAATCTCCGCCAAAGAGATCATTAGACAACAACGTCCACATCATCGGGCATGATGGAACTTTTTAACAGTCCGTCCCCGGGAACAGAACTCGACGATTCCCGTATAATCAACCGAGTGATAACCCATACTCTCAGATGTAAATGTAACACGATATAAATCACTGGTCGGCTAACTTCGATACGAAAACGTTGTCATTACGCAAATATACAAGTTTTCATGCTTCGCTCACGTCGGTGAAGTTGCATGCATTCGAGGGACTCGGAAGTTAATCGATCTGACGAATGTGAATAAGTTTAGAAAATAACTTATTTTGGAGAGGATATTTCGTGGTTGATGATGGTTGAGGTTTGGAAACTTTTTTGCAGATAATCACGAAAATGAAAAATTCAGATTCTCGGATTGTAATATTAACCCATTAATTAAACTTAACTCGCAATCAGTATAGCAAAGTAATAAAATGTCAATTTGCTACGATCCTGATTTTAATTAATTTAATCTGTTAAAAAATCAAGCATTTTTTATTATACTATATTATATATTATATTGCTATTACCATATTTAATTTATTATAATATTATATTATAATAAATTAATAGTAATATTATTATAATAGTATATATATTATACTATTATTATAATAGTAAAATATCATTATAATAGTAATATTATAATAAATTAATAATAACATTATATTATAATAGTTGCTATTACCATATTTAATTTATTATAATATTATATTATAATAGTTTTTTTATATATATCCTGATTTTCATTAATTTAATCTGTTAAAAACCAAGCATTTTCTATTACACTATATTATATTATATATTATATTGCTATTACCATATTACAATTTATTACAATATTATATTATAATAGTTTTTTATGTTTATCCTGATTTTCATTAATTTAATCTGTTAAAAACCAAGCATTTTCTATTATATTTATTATGTTGCTACTACCATATTATAATTTATTATAACATTATATTATAATAGGTTTTTTATATTAGTATATAATATATAATATAATACACTATATTATAATTATATTATGAACATTTTCCTTTCGTTGTTAAATCTCACGAAATCGTAAACTAGCGAATTCTTAAAATTTCACGATCACAGTTAAAAGAGAAAGTGAAATTTCATAACGAAGTAAATTTCGTAGAATTATAAAATTATAAAGATATTGCAAATCACGTGTCATCCTTAATGGGTTAATGCAACTTTCACGCTGTCGAAGAGAAATTCGAAGTGCTTCAAAAATGAAAACAAATTTCACAAACTCTGATAAATTGTTCCAACACGACATTCCGCGCAATCAAACACTGTAGTCGAATTACAAAAAAAAAAAGAGAGATTTCATTTCTCGAAACCCTCGTACCCTCTGATCAATCGAATTGCAGCTTTAGAGTAAAAAAAAAAAAAAGAAAAATCTTCCAACTCGGGAATTCTAATCCCAGCAATCCACACCGAAGCTTAACCATCGACAACCATACGTACTTCTAATCCCCGGTATCACTTCTAATTCTCTGGTACACTCGCTTGCGCTTTATTCGAACGTGAATAACAAATCCCCGTGTTTCTTCATCACGAAAACTGGCTGCTGAACATCATCCGCTGGCGGATGAGCGATCGTGTCACCCGGTAATCATCCTGGCGATTCACACCAGGACTTCGAGGATGGTTCGTTTGCGCGTTTAGCAGCTGGCCAACACCGCCGTCCTCAATAGTATGAATTATCCTGCCGGTGGCCGGGGTACCGGAAAGGCTGGCGCGCCCCCGCGTTCCCGTCCGGCTTCAACAGAAAGAAACTAGTCGGCTTGCCGTTAAACACGTACGGCCCGTTCTCCAACTTGTTCACCAAATCGTCGGCCGGCCTCGGATTGCTCTGCCATTGGTAAATCGACGTCGGTTTCCCGTTGCTCACGAACTCCGCCGACAGGCTGTCCAGTTTGGTGATCGGGCTGTCGATCGGCTTCTTGCTCGTCTTCTTCTGCCACTGGTACACCGACGTTGGCTTCCCGTTGCTCACGAAATCGATGGGCAGCTTGATGAACGGGTTGGCGGGCTGCTGGTAAGGTGGCTTCGGTCTCGCGGGCCTTGCGTACGAGACCTGCGGCCGAAGATTGGCCGTGGAGTATGTGGGCGGTTGCGAGATGTAGCCTAAGCCTGGCACGAACATGTAGGGCGTGGGCGGTAGCCTGATGTAGAAGATGTTGCTCTCCTCGTATCCGCTGGCTCGTTCGCCGGTGTCGAAAAGCTGAGGGACCAGCGGATAATTGACGAAGATGGCCTTGTGCTTTCGAGTTGCCTTTCGCGACGATTTCTCTCTCTCGTTGGACTGCTTGAGGGGAACGTCGGGCTTGTCTTCTGCTCGATTGTCGTCCCGTGTCCTGGCTAGCTCGTTCGTTCCGCCGTCGGTCTTCTCTGATTGCCTTTTTGCCGGCTGATTCGTCGCGTCCTTGCCGGTGACAATCCCGGTTTCCGTGGAAACTGGAGCCGCGTCCTTGTTCCCCGGGAACAATCGAGCGTTCAGGGTGTCGCCGAGCGGCACTGCTGCGGCCGATGCTACCGCGCACACCAGTATAGCCACCAGGGATGCCTTCATGCCGGCTGGAAAGAAGGCGAACGATTTTCATTGGTTTCGTCTTGAGTCGACAAAATATATATATATATATATATATATAGAACAATAAAAGGACAAAGTGTATTCGCGGAGCATTTGTAAATGGCATTTTGAAGAAATGTATGTTAAATTCATTTGAGTGCCTTTCGTTATAGTTGCTCTTGAAGAGTAGTACTTTAAGATCGTGTGTTCGCTTGAGAGCATTTGTGACAATTTTTAATTCCAATTTGAATTTTTAATATTTTATTTAGAATTCTTCTCAATGAATTTTTATTGGATCTGTGAAAGAAGATTTCAATTCGTTCAATAATTTTTCATAGTTCACGTTGCAATTTACGAAATTTTGACTGTAATATTATAACAGAAAGTATAGTATTAATAATAATAACAATGATATTAAACAATTAATAATTAACATAGCATTATATACAATTTTGTAATATTGTAATTTTAGTGATGTTAGACAGTGAAACACTCTCGAGAGCAATTCGCGATAATTTCATTCTGACCATAAACGTGACACCAATTTAATTCTTATCGTTCGATTGTTTGCTTTATTAAAAAATATCCAGCGAAATACATCGACCAATTCAGAAAGATCGAGCAAACGTAATCCGGCTTACAGTCGATTTACCAAGTTACCCCTTTCTCAGACTGACAATCAGATTAAGTTATTATCCCTGAAGGAATATTATCCTCTTTCCACTCTCAAAATATCGAGCTAAATTCCATCGCGAACTCGAGGACACGTTACCTCTAAATTAAACCGACTAACCATCTATTGGACTAATGCGACAAGCGGATGACATTAAGCATGCAAAACGCAATCCCGGTGGAAGATAGGGTAGAAACGATCGTGTCATCGTCGAAAGACGAAACAAATTATCGTCAACTTCGTTTCGCACAACTTCATTTTAGCAACTGAAGGATTTAATTTTTATTTAGCTTTGCTTAGCTTACTATTTTTTTATTTTTATCATCTAAAGCTAGACGGTTCTGTTGTAGAAATAGAATTTGTAAAAATCTTTGTATTTTTGGGATCATGAGTGTTTCATAGTAAATTCATCGTAAGATTATCCGCTGTAAAAACTCGTTTTATAAAACGCCATCGTGTATGTATGCGAAATATCTGGTTAAGATGTTTGTCAGAAGAATAAATAGAAATTAGTTTTAATAATTTCATGATACAACTATGATAATTATACGTACAACCTTCGTAGCTTTCTACACAAAATTCATGAATGACAAAACAATTCGCAGTTAGTATCATCATTTATCAAAAATATCGTCGCGACATTTTTTAACGGCGGTGAGTTTCTACTTAGAAAGATTTGTGATATTTCGTTCAAAGATCTGTAGATATTCAGAAACTTAAAGAAAACCGAAAACTGTGGGAAATTCCATAGATGAGTGGCGTTTCTTTCGAAAGATTTGTTAGATATTTCCAAGTTTAGACAGTGAATTTTTATTTCCTACATTGCTCTCTAGCTTCAAACATTTTCATAGTCTGATCGTCTCACAGACTAAAAAATTTTCCCCTCTATTCAAAAATTTTCAGATATTTAGCGACTTGAAACAAAATTTGACTTTCCATTGGCCAGATTGCCGATTCCGGCAATATTCAGTCGTTTCATCTCTAGTTCAAACGCAGTGCGTCGCGATATCGAAGGTCTCTTCCTCCTTCGGTCGCGTTGCACCAGTTGTTTCTTCCCTCCCCGTAACCGACGTCGAATAAATCACGCGTCACCGTGGCGTATAAGCGAAAACGTAGAAAAAGACGAGGCCTATACGTGGACCGAGCGAAAGAGAGAGAAAGAGAGAGAGAGAACGAAGGGGACAAATTCCGCGCGCGGCATTTAGACGGCGGGCGTACATTCCGCGCGTCAGTGTTTCTTCTCGCGGCGCGACCGCAGCACAAATCCAAAGGGAAAAGAACAAGAGCATCAGGAATGGTAATTGAAAGCGGGTTATAAAATCGTCGAGTCACGCATTCCTGACCGAGCGAGAACTCCTCGTCGAAGACCTTGCAGAAGGTCGGTCATACTGGAGGAGGAAAAGGGAGATGCCAAAACGATCCCATTCAGAGCGGGTTTCGTAATAAGCTACCAGCTATACAATATCGTAACGATAACTATAGATACCACGTGAATCATTGTTCAATCCGTTGCTGTTAACTTGACGTTCTCGTCTTCTCTGTTTATCTTTTAACTGATATCTCGCTTAGTGGACGTTTTTATATATCATGTTGTGTATTTCTGTAGTTTTTTTAACTATCAAGTTTGTCAAAAATTCGCAAATATCCACGAAGGTGGATAGAATTCGTAATTTCTAGGATAGTAGTAAAAAAATCGAAAGAGAAATAAGATAATAAATAGTTGCAATGGGAGAGAAAAATAAGATAATAAATAGTTGAGAAATTATTGCAATGCTCTAACAATAAGTTATAAACGTTTGAAGCGTATGATTTAAGTTTCTTATCGTTCAAGATTTATAACATAGTCGTAGAATTACATCAGAAAATACAAAATTCGGGTAAATTAATTAGAACACCATACTGCAGGAATTTTTTGGATGAATACACTTTCTTCGTTCTTTAGTCTTCACTCTGGTCAAGAACTAATTAACTAAAGAAATTAAAGTATTTATAATTTGTGGATAATCATTACTTCTTGAGATTTTTTATATAAAAAATACACATTACATTTTGAATGTAGGAATATTTTGCATAGCTAATTTAAACAATTTCTTAAAGTTGCGACTAACTTTTGTTTCAGAAAGAAATATTCATTGATTCAATTTCATTTTATGTGATACATAAACGATTCTAAAAAGAACCTATTATCGTTCGATAGGATGAGAATTTTGAGCATGCAGCAGAAAGTATGTAAATACCCCGTGAACCGGTTGTTTATTATTTTAGTTTCAGTATTAAACCGGTACATGTTGTCCCTCTGCTCTCTGTAAGAGGCGTGTAATCGAAGTGGCAGGGTTTGGTTTAATGATTTCGAATTAGAACGTTTTACGCTCGGTTGTACCGGTGTTTCCATCTTAAACGGATTTTAAATCGTCCCGCCGATTGATTCTCGTGTTTCACGTCTTCGGCCGAGATGGTAATTAAAGCTCAAGCTCGTCCGACCACGTGACAACACGCGCGCGAATTTACACGACAGAGTTGGGAGCGCGATGTAATACCCTCGGATATATTCAGATTCCAAACGAGTGTAATTAACGCTGCGACTGATCGATTTAGAGGATAATGGTGGCCCGTCACCGTTTACGATTAAGTACCAGTTGATTGTTACGCGATAGCACGTTATTACCGGCGTCGGGTTCCTTTTTCCCCCCTCGAACAGCTGTCAGTAAGGTAAACCGACTACCTTTCCTCTGGCGGGTGATGCAGTCGGTCTACAGGGACCTGTGTTATCCGCCAGCGGTCTTGTTTCACCTGTCTCGCCGTTGACAACACGCTCCATCTGACCTCGCTCGTCCCGCCCTGGTTTTGCATAAAATTTCGACGCGTCATTTCCGCGGGAACACCTCCTCTTGCTTTTCGCGCGCGCTTTCTTTTTTTTTTTCGCACGGATGCCTGAGTGACGTCAGCAGCTTTCGAAGCGACAGAAACGGGACGTAAGTACCTTCGAGTTGTCACGTATTTCATCGTCATCCTTCGTTCCTTTGAAAAAGAAACGAACGCTGCGAGTAATTTGAAGAGATCCTCGATATGTGTTTCGCACATGAGTGTCGAGGATTTTAAGAATGTCGATCATCGAAGATTACTACGTCGGACAGTACGTGAGTCGAGTTACGAGATTTCAAGCGTCTCGAAGGGCTCTTTCGGGGATTCAAACGTCCAGGCTCCTCCTCGATCGTTTTTCGTCGTTTCGAGCGCACCGTTATCTTGCCGAAATGAATCGGTACGTACGTACATATACACGTGTGTATCTTTTTTTTACAATGATCTTTGTCAGAAACGGCGACGGGAGAGACGAAACGAGAGTGTTGGTAATACACACGCGCGGGATGATGTTTTTCAACTTGTGGTGGCGTGCAGATCGCACCTTCGTCACGTGTCATTTGGTCCACTCTACGTCCGTTAGCTTGGAATTTCTTTGCAGCCTCGAAAACAGTATGTTCACGCTTCGCTTTGTGAAAAGGAATTTACAAAGCGACGTTGTACCGCCTCGATGGGATCAGGTAACTATAGAATCACTTTTACAGTAATTAGCGATGCCTCATTTTTTTGGTCAGCGTTGAATTAACGACACTATTCTCGAACGGCGTAGCTGAGAACGTGATGATTTTAATCGAAGACGGCGGCTGCACACGTTCAGGATTTTGAACCCAGCTGAACAAGCTCGAACCTGTCGCTTCCGAATGAAATTGCGGAATTACAAAAAGGTAGAACATAATGTGTAATAAGACTCCGATACACGTAGGGATGAGAGACGAGCTAGCTATCGGTGGGAAATGGGCGCAGATTATATGGAACAAGGCTATCGACATTGTGATTACGCGGAGTCGAGAACAATTAATTTATCACGTGAAAGATGATTTGACATTCCACGACATCGTCCTTTTTCTGCGAGGATTGAGGCTTCGACGATTATTTGTTCCTTTTTCCTCTCTCTATTGGATACTTTCTCGTTAACCCTCAATTTTCGTGGATGAAAAGAGAGAGAGAGAGAGAGAGAGTGACGACATTTTAAGAAATAGATACTACGTTTAAAATACGAGAGGTATGTATTTACTTAGGTAGCCAAAAAAAAAATATATATATATTTTTTCTTGACTTCCATTTGGATACATGCAATTTAATTTTAGAAAAATCGTGCAGAAATAAGGACTTCTATTGTATTTGAGAATATGGAAACTCAAAAGATGATCAATATTATGAATAGATTGCAAATTTTTGTATTATCACATAAAGAATATACAAAACGTATCCAATATTTTTATAATACATATTAGGTAATCGTTAAAGTTCTACATCATTGAACTATATCTTCCAAAATATGGATTTGTATAAAAATTTGTAATCTAATTACAGATTACAGTCATAACTCGTCTATTGAATGGAATTAGACGAGGAAATGTGATGTATGTATGCATGTGAAACTTGGTTCGAGCGCGAAAGTTAGCTCAAAAAGGCGATATTTAATTATTAACGGGTTTTCGAGGGAATTCATAAAATCTCCTCGCGGCGATTTACGAGCTCTTGTTTCGGTTTGATTTTCATCCGGTATGAATTTTCGCGTAACTCGCGAAGCTCCTAATTAGCCTTCAACGAACAACGGTAGATAACTGCGGTGAGTAATTGTTGATAATTCTGTTTTGATCTCGACGAGCAATTTCAATTATAGGTAGATTGTATTTATGTATATGATTCAGGTTTGAATCGGGCTTGAATCTTACTCAAATGAAATTTAAAATTTAAATAGATCTCTGTTGCAAATTGCAGATCTTTTTTTTTTTTTTTGCTTAATATAAAATCCTAAAATTATAAAAGAAACGTTTATAACTTAATGTTTTTCTAATGTTTATTAGAATAATTTAATATTTATTCTAAATTATTATACAACAGGGTCTTGCTAGGTGCTAGGTTCATCAGCAAGGTTTATTAAGTGAAATTCACTGATTTTTAAAAAATGAAAATTAACGCGCACTTTATTAGTTTATTAGTAACATATTTGCATGGAAATGATACTATTTAAAATAAATCTCGAGTTTCAAGGGATAATTAAGAGAATTTTGTCTTCGTTTTGACATTTGAATATTTTATAGAATATTTTGTAGCATTAACATTAATATTAGCTATAATACCAAGTTTTGTAAGATGAAAATTAAAACAACAGAAAAGACCACTATATTCAAGGACACATATTCAACTTCAAACGAATTTAACTGTTCTCCACCAAACCAATCAAGATTACTGATAAACTACTAAAAATCATACAAATATCTTTGACGAAATTAGACGTTTTGTTTTATTAATTAACAGCAGAAACATTCATTTAATTTTCAATGAATCACTTGCAATGTATCTATGTACATGTTACCTAATGTGTACAGTGTTGCTATTAAACGTAATTGCATGCATCTCTTTACTTTCTAATTAAGCATGCGTAACATATTCGGATCATAATAATCCGCAATGTTGGCGCTAAAAATAATTCGCCGTGATTGCATGTTTAATGAGAAGTCGTTGCTCTGCTTGATGATTCGCGATAAATTCGTGGAAAATTGATCGAGCATATTCGAAACCTTCGTTCAGACGGTTCACAGACAAGGACGACCCGTGTTGTGGTCCATCATTCTCGTCTCTCTGTTCGCTCGTGCGTCCCTAATTATCCAATTTTACGCTACCGGCCTCCCAGTACGGTAAATATTCTCGGTGGCACCACACATCAAACTCCAGAGTGGCAGGCTAGAAATCTTTATACCCTGATTCGTTTGGTGCTCGAGCAAATGCGAAGCACGTGTTGCAACCGATCTTTCCCGCGACCATTATTGGCAATTGTGTTGGAAACGATCGTGTTACAGTGAAGAGTATAATTGAACTGGTAACCACAGGTCCTTGTACAGATCCTACCGTTAATATTAAACTATACAGAACGATGTACTAAACGTGTATTGAACAGTGCATAACGATAAATTTATAATCATTGTTTTTATAATGAATATAGGTATATAAGTGAACAATGAATAAAAAGCATGTACATGAGTAGATATATACAAACAAGACATATAAAAGACATATATACAACTGAGCAGTGGATAAAAAGATGACTAACGATGCGATTGTATTAATGAATGAGCGCAGTGAAGAGTTTGATTTGAATTAGTAACTACAGGTATTATTAATTCTCGTTTAATACTGTGTTAATGTTAAGATATATGTACAGAATGAATTATTCACGTTATACAAAACGACCATTGAACAATGTATAGTGATATGTTATATAAAACGATATAATACTTTTAATTACCGCTTTCTTAATGAACATGTACTAATAAAGTGAAATTGAACAGTGAAGAGAAAGATGAATAATAACATGAGTGTATTAATGAGTAAATACAGTCAGAAACATAACTGAACCAGTAACCACAAGTACTGCATAAATTCTTCATTATTATTGTTAATTCATTATAATAAGATATAATGACCATAATATGAAGAAATATATAAAATACCTGAAATATATTTGATAATAAAAACAATATTTCATCGAGATTCTATCTTTTACATTAGTAATTATATTAGTAACTTTGTATATATTAGGAATATAATTAAATATAATGTATATATTAGGAATATAATTAAATATAATTCTTTTACTCAATTTTTACTTCAATGGTCGTAAATTATATCATGTACACTGTACACATGTTCATCATAAATTCGTAGAGGGAAAGCAAAAAAACTGTGACAAAGTAAAAAATAAAATTAATCTAGATGATCGTAACACAAATGTATTAATTTATGAAAGTTAAAAATTTGATTACAAAGAAAAACATTATTGAATATTTCTTGTTACAGACAATTAAAGAAAATATTAAACAATATCACTATGTTATGATATAATATAATAGTACATTATATTAATTTTAACTACTTAATAATTATATTGTTATTTTTAATTATTATTTCTGTATAATAATTAAATAATTATTATATTATAATACAATATATATTATATTATATTTATATTATTATTAAACATATTATATTATTATATTATAATATATATTATATTATATTAATATTATTAAACATATATTATTAAATTATAATATATATTATGTTAATATTATTATTAAACATATTATTATATTATAATATATATATTATATTATCACTATAATAATTTAATTATTATTTCTGTATAATTTAATATCCAGCAACAGTGAGAAATGATCCGCGCGAAATCTGTAACTGTTGGTTCAGTTTGTATACATGTTCCCTTGTAAAGAGTTTCTATCTTCGTCGTCAGAGATAAACGCAGCGGTACGATTAAACAGCCTGCCAACGAAACAATCTGCGCGAGCTGAAAATGTTGAGCAAAAATTCTACTCCGTTGAGTGTTACGGTATTCTGTTTGTTCTTGCTAATGGTTCCGTTTCTTAACACGAAATCCGCGAATCATTTATTAACGCGTGATCCTAACCGCTACTTCTGGAAGTTAATTCAAGGGTACTCGGTTAACTATCCCATCCTGTTACAGAGTCCAGTGTTACGTTAAAAATTCGTATAACAATGTTTCGTTGCTAAATCGCGTTAATGCGGGAATTCTTTCATTCGTATTTGAAACGGAGGCTCCTCCGTTTCTAACGTTAAATCTCGTCGAAATTTCTCATTCGTAATCCTCTTTACGGAATAACTTTCGGTAGAAATTCACGTGTTATCGACTGTATTACGATTTTTATACATAAATACACTTTCTGAAGAAATTTCAGGTTTACGGCGACCATTTTTTTTTTTTTTTTGATATTAATTTAGATACTTTCTGATATTTAACTTTATTACGTTTGGCGAGTCGTACAAAAGAGTTCAAATTAAATTGAGAATAAAAGAAATTTGCAACGAGAAATATAAAAAAGAAATGTATGAAATCTAGCTTCGAAAAGGAAAGGAAACGTTTCGTGAAAAATATCGTAACGAAATTATATTAATCTCTCAATGAAATTGCACTGAGTGTCCAGTTATTTATGCACGTTACTGTATCTCTTTTAGCTACGATTTTAGCTAACAGGTTGAAGATAGCCAACGAAAGAAAGGACCAGGAAAGTTGAAGGGTTAGAAGTATTCGCGTTAGTGTGATAATTTAAGTATCGCCAATTTCAGCGTCATCGAAGGTCGCACGTGGCTTCTCTAACGAGCGAGTTTGCTAGACTTTCTCATAATTGCACCGGCAGTCACGAAGGCTGCAGGTGGTTCTCGCGAGATCCCAATCATGTGAGTCAAGGTGTTCTGACTCTGCACAATGCTCCCCTCCCCCTTCCACCTCTCGACACCTCAGATACACGCAATCCAAGATTCCGGATTTCTGAGACTCGGTCTAATTTCCTAACTGTACACGATTGTTCTTTTCGGAATGTAATCCCTCATCATCCCGCCATCATCAATCTATCCCTGCGAAACATCCGTTAGAACAATTAGATTAACCCCTTTGAGGATTTAACTTTTTCACAGTGTGGCACGGCGAAGAAAAACTCGAACAAAATTGTGCTATTACAGATTTCACATGATCGAATAATAATACATTATATTATAATTAATTATTAAGAATTACTTATATTAATCATTCAGAATTTAATAATATAAACTATAATGTGTATTACAAACACATTTAATACTATAATACAATATTATATGTGTTTGTAATACACTATAATGTGTTAATACTATAATAGTTCAATACAATATTATATTAAATAAATTATAAGAAATTAAATATATTGTAGTAAATATTTCAATATCGTAACAAATTATTAGGCATACTACTTGTATATTACAAATACTTCAAATGTAGAATTTTTTTTATTTAATTTTGTAAAATTATACTACCTAGAATGTTTAATACTTTCTGTCACAGTTAATCTTACACTGATATCCAAAAAATTAGAATTTCATACAAACAGCCATATATAAATGATGTCAACGGAAATTATGTTGATTTTCAATGAGTTAGTATTACACAATATTGTTGGATGACAGATAATTTTCTTTTTAATTGCAAGTTAAGTTCTTATGTTGCAAATTTTATGTATGTGTGTGTTTGATAAATGTTATGAAATACTTGGATATTAATTGTTTTTAATATACGTCTAATATTCAAGCTGCTGCTATCAATTCCAAATCTCAAATCTGTCTTATGTAGTGTGTAATGATTAATATTTATTTCCTATAAAGAGTGAGACATATATACTTTTTGTAATGCAAGGAATGTTGAGGATAAAGATAAATAATTTCCTCTTTCATTCTCTGAAACGGGTCATTTCATAAAAGATGATTTCCTTCAGTAAATGTAAATATCTCACTTATGATATATTGAATATTTTCAAGTATCGAAGTCAGAATTAAATGTAAATAATTTATAATAATTTAATATAAAATAAATCAGAAGTCAGAACATATAATTACAATATTCATATTCGTTTAAAAAGAAAATATGGTATTTGAAAGGGTTTTAGATTCAGTTGTAAATTACAATATTCGTATTTTCAAATACTTGCAAATTACGATATTCGTATTTCAAATACTTGCAAATTACAATATTACAATATTACAACATTATTTACAATATTACAATTACAATATTCGTATTTTAAATACCTGCAAATTACAATATTCGTATTTTCAAATACTTGCAAATTACAATATTCGTATTTTAAATACTTGCAAATTACAATATTACAATATTAAAATATTATTTACAATATTACAATTACAATATTCGTATTTTAAATACCTGCAAATTACAATATTCGTATTTTCAAATACTTGCAAATTACAATATTCGTATTTTAAATACTTGCAAATTACAATATTACAATATTAAAATATTATTTACAATATTACAATTACAATATTCGTATTTTAAATACCTGCAAATTACAATATTCGTATTTTCAAATACTTGCAAATTACAATATTCATATTTTCCAGAAAGTGTATGAAAAATTCGATTTTATCTAAAAAGAAAATCCTCACTCTGATCAGTGCCTGTCCAACGAGAAATCCAATTGCAAGTGAAATGATTCTCTTTAAATTGTCAAGTGGCATTTGTCGAGTAAATACGATAAAATACGATCGTCTGAAGTCATTGGATAGCTGAACGCGCGATAAAATCGGTAGATGATCCTCTAATTATCTCGAGCAGGGATATTATTAAATAAACGCAACGTTATTGTCCCTTTTTTTTTTTTTTCTGTTCGTTGCGGATAAGTACCGTAAGGAATCCCTGCTCGAAAAATTGGCTTATCCTCTAACTGTAACGAGATCGTCGAACACATTTCGACGATGTAATAATACAGTAGTCTCAATAGACAATGAGAATCTCGGCCCGATCACGCGTTACGAAAACTGAGTTAACCTCCTTCGAGACCTTAGCGGATTCCACGGTTTTTTCGTTGATCTCTGTCCAATAAAAAGCCTGTTCTCTACGATGATGGCTCTTTTATTATTTAGAGTTGAAAAAAATTGAAGGTTTAAAAAGGCTGGAAATATCGATCCGATGTTGAGTGTCAGTTCGGCGCATTTGAAGGATTTTCTGTCCGTGTCAATTGAATTAAAGAGAAACGATAGAAATTAGGAATCATTGTGAATGATTGTCGTGGATAGTTTTTGTGTGATTCATGTGAAATTTGGACAAGAACGGACGAGCTTTAGGATGTGAAACATTTTCTGACTTCTGAGAATCGATGAAATTCTGGATTTGAATCCATTATGTATTGAAATCGACAAAAAATAATCGTATGGAAATTATTTTGATTATGCATTATGTTTTCAATAACATACGTATGCAGTGACTCGCGAAAATATTCCAACAGTTTATCATAGAAAACCTTATACGTGTGCGTTATATAAAAAACTTGAAATTTT